GATTGGAGGGAAGCGTACACTTTGGCAAATCATTCCAAACTGAAACGGCAGAATAGGTAATACTTTTCTTCATAAAATTAGTTTTTGGTTTCTTTAAAACAAAATCCGTATTGTTGTTGCGTAAATTATGATTTGAGTTGTTTTTCATTTCATATTTACCAATCATTGATTGTGGCAGTTTAATATTATTTTTAACGTTGTATGCAAACATTGATTTCTTTTTCCGGAAACGATCTTTCAAGGGTAGCCAGTACAGTTCACTTAACATGTTTTCGGAACTTATCTCGTAACTACTGCCAGTGATTACTCGTGCCGCTCTGTTTTGTAACATTTTCAGTTTTTTTAATAAATAATCCGCGCATTCATCCCACACAAGGCTGCAATAATCAAAATGGGACAAAACTATTGCATCATAGACTTTAATTAATGCAGAATTAGTAGATACATATTCTTTAATTCGACGTAGGATACCTATGCTCTTAGAAACTTTTTTCGTGATATTATCGATCTGTGTGTTCTATGTTGAATGATCGTCAATTATAAAGCATACCACAGACCTTCCTAATTTTGAGTACTAGTCCGTCTCGCCCCCCCTCCCCCACTTTTTGGGATGGATTGACGCCCTTGGCGTCTCGAGTCACTGGCGGCTTGGCCCCACCTGGGTTTTTGCTGGCTCCCCCCTGACCAAAATCCTGGCTACGCCTCTGGGTTGAACATGATATGTATCGACGCCTTTGATTCTTGGGTACCTAACATAACTTCTCTTGCTTATAATCTATCACAAATCTGACGACACTATTTTAATTGGCGTATTAAGCTCTATCCACACATCAAGTTTCCTGTGGTTACGAAAAATTATAAGGTTTTTATGAGCAATTTTGTCAATTTAATTTGTATATGTCAAAAGCAAGATATAATTATATGCCACAAGGTCAGGTTTGATCGGATTACTCTAAAACGTTCAATATAAATTAGCTATTTTCTGGGCTACACTCTGGTATAACCAGCACACCTGCTGCAACATGCGCGCTTCTGGCTGCGTGTTATTTGCTGAAGCCAAAACAGTTATTTTGAGTTAAGTGCAGAAACACTTGATACCAAACGTTGGGCTATACATCAAACTGAAGCTATTGAACATTGCTACTCGGTGTGGAAATTTCAAGATTTCGGCGAAAAGAAAAATATTTTTAAAATACAAAAACAACTGCCATTCGGCCAAGAAATGGAAAATTATCGGCAAATATTTTTGTAATTTTTAAATATTTCTATTTTTAGCTAAAGTCTTGAAATTTCTTGGCCAAATAGCGTTTTTCAATAGCTTCAGTTTCACATACAGCACAACGTTCAATGTTGAGAATTTCTGCTCATAACTCAGAAAAATAGGTACGCCGTGCGTACATGTTGCATGCCATCAAAACCACGAAACCTCATGACTCAGAATACCGTAAAACTCTGACTATTAGCCCCCCGAATATAAGCCCCCCCCCTCGAATATTAACTCACCACATATACTAACGCTCACCTCATTCCAAATACAACCCCCAAATATGTCCACCCGAATATAAGCCCCGCAAATACAAGCCCCCCAAATATATGTCCCCGAATATTAGCCCAGTAGCCCACTATGTCATTCAATATTGACATTGTCTTTTAATTCAAGAATATATAGCAGAGAATGATATTTTAAAAACATTGTCATTGTCTTTATAGCCGACTATGCTAATGAAACCGCGTTATTAATACATGTTTATTTTCCTGATTATGACTGACTTGTTTATCACTAACACAAAAGATCGTCCATGTATTAGCCCCCCGTTTATAACCCCCCCCCCCTCCTTGTATAAACTCATCAAAAATCGCTAACGAAAGTATATAAGCCCAGGGCTTATAGTCGGGGGTTTACGGTACTATACAGAAATCGATAACCATTGTTTTCTGCCTAAGGGCTATTCGGCATGATTCGGCACTCGGCCAGTACCGTAAACAGAAGCAGTAACCCCTTGGCACAGAACAAAGACACACCGAAGGTCGATTCGAGTAACCGCTGCCATGTCCCAGCCAGTGCGCGCCCAAGAGGCATTCCCCCTGGACGTCCGTCATTTTGAATATTATCAGGCGGTCGAATGCCTCACAAAAGCGCATCAGCCAGGACCATGGCGTCAGCATTTTGATGACGAATTACGGTCACGCCAAAATCATTGGGAAATCATAGGAAAAACCAAGAAATCAAGCTTCTGTATGACCCATTCTGTGGCCTGGTTATGATGCGCTACCGCGCGCTTATAACGTTTGGTACAACTGGCCTGAAATTTAAAATATTGATTCAATAGGTTTAATTTCAATATATTTATGGGAAAATAGCTATTATGTCAAAATAAGAAAAGTTAAAATTCTCACGCGATTTTATAACTTAATAATGTTATTTCCTACAAATTTAGTTTTATTGTAGCTTTATGTACTGTTTAAAAGACGAGCAGGAGTGTTTTGTTAGGTTTAAAGCCACGAGCGCGCAGCGCGAGTGGCTTTAGACCTAATAAAACACGACCTGCGAGTTTTTTAGATGGCTTCAAAACGTTTGCATAATAAGTCAAATCTGAATATGAAATATCTTTATATAAAAATCTTTATATAAAAATGTTTATATAAAAATGTTTATATAAAAATCTTTATATAGTTTGCATAACAATGGTCTTTTGTTAAAGTGTTCTTTAGCTGGTATAAAGACGTATGCACGTGACTAATTTCTTACTCAAGATTGGATAATTGCTTCATGAATTATTAATGAGTTTTTGACTGAAAGTATAAAAAACATGGAAACGGCGAATTACTATACAGTAGATCGAAAATAATTCATATTAAACTATGATTGAAATTATCGACGTAGAATGCTATTTCGTTGTATTAAATTTCGATAGTATTAATGAGAATTTTGTTTGATATTTTTATAAATACATTTCATGTTATTTAGTATATTTCATGTTATTTTATTTATTAAGTTTTGCACACAATATAATCAGTGTCAACACAATGACTCCTTTTATTTTGAGCATATATAAAAAATTGAGTATTTTGATAGCGTAGCCTTCACGATATAAATATTAAAGGCCTGATAAATAATCATTCAGATCATTGCGAGCACAACTGCTCCAAAATCACAACAAATAGCAGAATATAAAGTAAATTAAAACCAGCAAAACTTACCTACCTTGATCTATTTTTCTAAGACGCTCAATTATATAAATTTTCCACGAACAATCAAACCTTTTTCTTTGCCTTTCCTCGACGAAAGCCGTGGACGAAAACCTGCATTAGTGTTGAAAATGCTCGTCGAAAAAGCTCGGTAATTGTCGTAATTTACGAATTTGCCACGCGACCGGTACGCTCACCACCACCAGGGCGCACCGCTCACCGCTCACCGCTCATGACGACACGAAATTTAGAGCTATATGAAAGTTGCATGTCATATATGGCATGCAACAAAAACTAAAATGCACTGGCTTCCACCCCCCGCCCCTTCAATGGGCACAACTACGTCACAAATTATGTTGTAAAGAAACTGCACAGCGCTATGCACGTGAGAATGATTCTAAGGTCTTATTACACGGGCTGTAAGATCCAGTGTTGAGGTTCTCTAATTTTCTGTGCGAAAATTATTCGGTTTTTTCGTCAACGTGAAATCCACCTACGTTTGTGAAGCGAACCGGTGACCTGAAATGGATCGCGTGCTCAAGTCTAAATGGTCGCCAGGTAAGAAGCGGAAACTATGCACTAGGATCTTTGTCTTGTTTGTTTATCACTATTCTGATATTGTATTATATGAATTTTGAAACTTTGCATACTCAAATGTTTCTGGTATATCACATGCGTATTAGTTGAACCCTATATAGCCTGTCTACCGACGTTTTAAAATCCTTAAACGTTTGTGCCTTGGGGGCCTTCGGTTTGCTTACTATATATTGATGTAGTTTTCTTTGAATTTTTAACACAGCATACTCGAATGTTACTGCGAATATTACCTGCGTATTAGTTGAAGCCTATAGCCTGTGCACAGACGTTTTAAAATCCTTGGAAGTTTGTGACTTGGAAACATAGAACTTTCGATACGGTTATCATAGGGTCGTATAGTTTTCAAAGTGAACCGGTCTAATATACAGCCATTGTGAACGCCTGATCATGCGTTCTTGTTGCTATACAATATTTATATTTATACTATACAATGCATGGCTTCCAATATTTATATATTTATGCTGGTTAGCACTTTAATATTATGCAGGTGATTGTCCACGAATATCTGTCGCAACAGAATATATATGTCCACAAACAAAAATACTTTGTTTTATTAATTAAATTAATGGATTTAATAGATAGCAAACTGAAAGCTAGTTTTTAGCTAAGGTATAATTAAGGTTCAATTTAAACTACCACAGGACGAAATATCAGATTTAATCGCATTTAATCGTAGGCTTATATTTTGTAAACCGACCTTTGAACCTTTAAACCAGCAATTAAATGTATTTATATGGATATTGACTTTAACTAGTGTTTAAACGGGTTTAAAGATTATTATAGGTATAGCTAAGTTTAAGCCAGTTTAAAGGACGGGTTAAACACTATTTAAAGAAATGCATGCCTTTAATATTTGTTTAATAGGTGTATTAAAGATGAATTAAATTTTGTCTGATTTAATCGCATTTATCCTTAGGCTTATATTTCATAAACCGACCTTTAACCCTGCAATTAAATGCTTTTATATATGGATCTTTAAATAGCTTAGGTATATATAAAGATTACTATATTAAAGATTAGAACACTATTTTTTCAAGGCAGAGTCCTAAAACAGACGCATTTGACGTAAATATTTTCTCGTTACTATGGTTACCATAATACCATTTCCTTCCGTGTCAAAACGCTTCGAGATTTTATTACATTATTAAGACATTCAGTGGGTTAATTATCTGGCTTTTCTTGTCGCTATTTATATAAAATTGCTGTCAAGTAAGATGAATGGCGCTCCAGATCCAAGTTCTGGTTATTTTTACTGTGCGCATTGCGAAGAAAATGTTTCCGAGTCAACATTTCGAAGAAACCAAATTCTGCCTAACTCGATAAACCAATTGCAAAGGGCTGTGCGAAATTTTTCATCTGATTCAGAGAGTGAAAGATCTACATCGCCTGATCTATTCCAAGGTATAGTAGAGTGGCATATTGCATTTTTTATCCGTACACCCCCTGTTGAGGACCTTGGAAATCCAGGGGATGCCTCTTGTATTTAACCCTGGAATTCCAGTGGGTGGGGGTCAAACCAACCTGGAATTCCAGTGGGTTGGGGTCAAACCAACCTGGAATTCCAGTGGGTGGGGGTCAAACCAACCTGGAATTCCAGTGGGTGGGGGTCGAAATAACCCTGGAATTCCAGTGGGTGGGGGTCAAAATAATAAGACTTACATGGAAATTCCGGGAAAGGGGATAAAATAATGATACCGGAACTGGAAATTCCAGGGGAGATCAACTTATTGACAGTGGAATTCCAGGGGAGATCAACTTATTGACAGTGGAATTCCAGAGTCATGCGGAAAAAAAATGAATTTCCAAGTGTCATTGATTAAACACAATTGGAATTCCAGGCACCCCCTTCTACAAACCACATTTTTCCAGGGCTTCTGACAAAAAATTACTTGGAAATCCGGGGGGTAGGAGAATTTATGCAGTGTGTCCTCAACAGGGGGTGTACGGATAAAAAATGCAATAAGCCAGTGTACTTTCTTACTAGCTAAAGTGGTCCGGTTTGATGTTTTATACATACATTGTAAATGCCAATTATAATATGCAAGATCATATGATGTTCCACACAACATCGAAACCCACACTGTGCCACAAGACTTGTTACAAGAGGTTGCTGAGGAAACATCCGACGATCCTCAAGTAGGTTCATTCATGCACTAAATATAATAAGTCTAATATGTAGAAGTATCTTCTATCTGCTTCATAATTATTAACACTGGTCAAAGGATTTTACTTGTCAAGGCTAAATTAATATGAATACTATTACAGTATTACCAATACTGTTATGAGTAAGAGTAACTATACTGATAAATTCATGGCCCAAGAATGAGAGATGTCATGAAATTTGCCCCTAATATAGCTATATATCCAAACCCCTTGACAAGTAAAAAACATCTGGCTTTAGCCAGATAAAAAGCAGTTGAATGGGTTAACCCAGTGCGCCCTACTTATTTTGTTTACTCATGTAATGCCAGACGATTTTATTCGTCAATGGGGAAGCTCCTCAGCTTAATGGGTTAATATATTATATACACAGTTGCTTTGCAAATCTCAAAGCACGTACAATATCCAACGGCACTCTATGGCTCTTTCCGGAGGTAATAAAATATAACTGCTTAAAAGCTAGTTGTTAAAGATTTGAAGACAGTTTTCCACTTGAAATTACAATTAAAACAACAAATATTTCACTTTGGTCATTTGAGATGCAAAAATGTAAAAAATTTTAAAATGTTTCCCATACAGTAGCTTTGGGTGCATGACTACAGGTGTATTACTAAATTTCTATTATATTTATAAAAATATGACTGTTGACAAATGTGTAACATTGATACAGTACAGTACATGTAGGCAATAAGGTAAAACTATAGTCATTCACCTGTCTTCAAACTAAAGCTGTCAAATATAAGTAATTAGTCTATATTTATAAATACTGTACAGTAAGATCACATATAGTTTTCCTGATTATATTTTTCTTGATCATCTGGCATAATATCATCTTCCCTTATGCATATTAATTAAAGTACATAAGATATTCATTTGATTTATGCATTCCTTTTTTGCAACTAAATTAACAGTGGCGTAGCCAGCTCGATAATTGGGGAGGGGGGCATATTCATATATTCGTGTTCACAGACCTTAAAAACAATCGATTTCAAAAGAAATTAATAATGCAGAACACGAATATATGAATATGCCCCCCCCCCTCAATTATCGAGCTGGCTACGCCACTGTAAATTAATCAATTCAATATGCTGATAAAATGTCTCTAATGTATGATAGCCACTTACATGGTTTGATAATACTTTTCAAGTATTGTCTGTGTTTTGTATGTATTTTAAAACATAGGGTCACTGGGTGTCAGTATTTCAACTACTACTATGTGTATTACCCTCCTTAAAAATTGTACAATTTGCATTAGCAAGCCTGATACAAGTACAGTATGAAGTAAATTTGGAAAAGTCTAATTTGGAAATGTCTACTAATAATGTGATTTGATAAGGATGTACATATTACATGTACTTACTTATGGTAGTTAAGCTATTTTAATACTAAAAAAACTTTTTTTACTACTGGCCTACTACAGTACTTTAACTAATTTTTATTACTTGACTATTATTATTATTATATATTTTGGCACAAGTCAGTCCCTACATCAGTAATTATAGTTATTAGTAAAATAACGGGGCAAATTGGGCCTGCACATTGAAATACATGTAAGTTAATCAATGGTTACATGTGTTAATCTTTTTGTTTTAAATCAAAGGCATGTCTCGTTTGTGCCTTGTCCTTTTGAGATGCTTGTGTAATGAAATTTGTCTGATATGTAAGAATGCTATGAAAAAGCTTATAACATTAGTGCAAGAACAACAATCATACAAAACCAATGCCAGCCAACAAAACAAAACTGTTGGTCTGATGATGATTTAGCAATGAAATCGAAATATCACAAACTCATTTTGGTCTTGTTTTAACTCACGTCTTGGGTTTCAAGATGTTAATGTTTGGATCATGTTTTGTACATTGATCGTACAATCAACAATAGTCAATACATGTATCTATACATATGCTCACAATTTGAGTAAAGTACACTGTACCGGTATATTGTAAAGAAGCTAACCCTCAGTATTAAACTGTGGCAAATCTGGCCAATATACATCACAGTATTTTAAATATTGTCTTTGATTTCATATGTCTCTAGATTGAAAAGTCTGGTAGTAGTGACCTGGATCAAAGTGATGATTCGGAAACCCAGAGTGATTCTGAACACGGCAGTGATAGTGGAGAGATTTGGGATGCTACTTTAGGTGAACACCTGGATGAAGATATCCTAAACCCTCCGCCAATACCTGAACCAGCTTGTAAGAAGAAGAAATTTCACATGGTGCACTCACTTCTGCAGTGGATGTTATATTTTCTTTTGATTTGGCAAAGCATTACCAACCTCAGTGACAATGGTCTAACATGGCTGTTGCAATCGCTTTTCCATTTTCTACGAGCACTTAATGTCCATACGTTGTCATTCTCTTCATGCAGCTGTAAAAATTAAACTACTAGTAGCACATTAAAGTACACTGTCACTTACAAGTATAAATGCAAATGACATCTAAATCTAACAAGTCAACAGTTGTACTTTGTCTCTTTAGTTTTTCTATATTATTTGACTGTTAAGGCCCACTTACACGAGCGATTGTTGCTGCGATTTTAGTTGCGATTTTCTCCTTTTGGAGGATATGAAGGAGTAGATTACTTAATAACGTTGTTATGAAATTTCACAACCTGGAACATTTATAACTTATCCACTCCTTCACATCCGTCAGAAGAAGAAAATCGCCCTAAAATCGCAGCAAAAATCGCCCGTGTAAACGGGCCTTTAATGGACCAATCCCCAATTAACCAAAATGTTGAACTCAACAAGTATAGACAAACATTTCATCACAGCTTGAAAGAGCACCACAAAATTAGTAATATTCCAAAGTTTCGTTACAAAATGTTGTAAAATGCGGATTGTATAGCCTTGGGAAGTTTTCTATTTTCAGTCATTTTGTATTACAAACTGGAAATGGTTACCACTTCTGTGCGTAATACAAAATGACTAAAAATTACAAACTTCCCAAGGATATATTATCCGCATTTTACAAAATTTCGCAACGATACTTGGGAATATTACTAATTTTGTGATGCTCTTTCATGCTATGATGGAATTTTGTCTGGACTTGTTAAGATCAAAATTTTGGTTAAGTGGGGATTGGTCCGTTTGCGGCGAAATTTTTTTAAATTTCCATGCGAGGGCACGCCCCCCTCCCCTGCAAGAGTATTATAACAGAGTGCAAATTCATTTACAGTATTGCCACTATTGGCATATACATTGTCAGTATTTACAATATAAGTTCTGGAATGTTGCTTTAATGCTTATAAGCTCTGCAGCTGGTCAATTATTTGATCGATTGTATGTCTGCGCTCTGGTGTTCCATTGATGCAAGTCACAGCAATGAGTCGTAAATTTTCAATTTTATGGTAAAAGCATATTAAGGAGATAACTAAGCCAAATGCATAGATATCACTTGCTTTTGTAGGAGGATGAGTGCCTTGCGCAACTTCTGGGGCAATATGCTTGTGATATTTGTTATACTTCTCTTGTTCAACGGTAGATAGCTTTTTAATCTTTGCCTCACAAGCCTTTTGCATTTTCCCAAAGTCAATAACAATTGGGTAAAAACCCTTATCTACTTTATTAATTACAATGTTGTCACCTTTTAGATCACAGTGGATATAGCCCTTTGTATGAATTTGAGAAATAGCTTTTGCACACGCCAATAACACATCTACCCACTGCCTCTCAGATGTAAACATGCTGGTCTTTGCAGCTTCTGCAAGAGTTATTGACCGACCATCAATTCCATAGCACTCCATGACAATGAAGTATGGCTTGGATTTCACATTGATGCCAAATATGTATGGCAGACCTATTGAAATTTAGAAGCATCTAGTTAGTTAAGATGCTCAGAATATTTGTATTGTTTGTAATGCACAATAATAATAATACTGTACATCTAAGTACTGTAATAATTAGTTATAAATATTATTATTACTAATTGTACAACATATTACAATGGAACATTTTATTTCTTACTCACAGAGCTAGAGTATCATGATTCCCAAAGAATGGGAAACTATTGTCACTATGCAAGTAATTAAGTACATGGCAAGATGTAACTTTTGAAACACCGGCAAGCATGGCAACCACACAATTACCCTAATATACCACAATGTGCTCTCATGTGGCCAACTTTATACTTTTAATCTGGCTAATGCCAGACAATTTTACATGCAGAAAGTAAAGTCTTGCAATGTTATCCTAACTATCCACCAATTGATGTTTCTTGTTAAACCCATTAAGCCACAATTATCTTTCATGCGCACTACATTATATTTTTACTCTGTGGCTAATGACAGATGATTTTACTTGCTGTGGGGGAAGTCTTGCATGTTAATGATTACCCTAACAATCTGCCAATTGGTGCTCTTGTTGACCAATTAAGCCGCAATGTGCTTTCATGCGCCCTACATTATATTTTTACTGTGGCTAATGCCAGTCAATTTTACTTCCTGAGAGGAAAGTCTTGCATATGTTAATGGTTACCCTAACTATCTGCCAATTGAAAGTCTCTTGTTAACCGATTAAGATGCAATTCACTTTCACACACCCTACAGTACATATTATATTTTTGTCCTGTGGCTAATGCCAGACAATTTCACTTGCCGTTGGGAAAGTCTTGCCTGTTAATGGGTTACCCACTAAACTGCAATGCGATTTCATGCACCGTGCATTATATTTTTACTTGGACTATGTGTCAGAGTATTTACTTGCGATCGTTAAGAGGAGACTCTTGCATGACAATGGTTAAACTGCCCCTAGGATGTTTAAGCAAAATTGCACATATACATAATATACCTTCATTGTCAAAAGTATGAATCATGCTAGCTTCCTTCTTAACTGCATCAAGTGATGTTTTGTTGAAGAATTTTACAGCTACCACATGTCCTCGGTATAACATTTTCTTGCAATAACCAAAAACTCCACTACCTAGGACATCTTGTTCTGGAACATCCTTGAGGTTACACCTTTCTATTTCATGAAGTTGTCTGCAAAATAATCCAAATAGAGTGATGAACAAGGAGGACCAGGTGGTATTTAAAGTTTGCATAGCATGCTGTCTCTTATGCGCGAATTAAATCGAAACGTTGACATCCCCCCCCCCCCCGGGCATACCCCCGGGAATTTGGATTTTGACGTTTTGGTCAGGTCAAATTCCCTACATATATTTGTAATTCCCGTTCAAATACACCACGTATTGGGGAAAATTGGAGTTCAAATACCCCACCCCATGTACAAATTGGAAGCTACAGCATTTCGCAATTTTGGAATTTCAAAGTTTTTCTTTCCTTCAAAAACTCTCTTCAATCGTTCAAAGCCGTTTTCTTGTAGCCAACCAAGAACAAAGTTAATTCCTTTGCACTTGAAGACTTTGAACTCATCCATTAATTATTGACGCCATTTTGGATTCTGCACACGTGTTTAAAAGAAAAATTCAAATTCCCGACCCCCTTCAAATTCCCCACCTTCCACTAGAAAAAAAGTCAAATTCCCGCCTTCTTAAAATACTAAACAAGCAAATTCTCCAGGTATGCCCGGAGGGGGGGGATGTCAAGGTTTCGATTTGATTCGCGCATTACATTACGCCCATGCCGTCTCTTACATTAAGCTCATACCTTATATTATTATTGTTTATATATTCTTAAGATAATACAAGCTAATGATTAAACGCCACTCAAGATGAACAACTGCTGAAAAATCGACAACTGGCTCATTACTAATCCCTATCCAATCCCCATACCCTGTCCTGGGGATAAATAAATTCTAAAAGCTTTTAATCCCCCACACTCTTGGGAGTGTTTTCTGATCTAAACCCCTACCAACCCCTATTAACCCATTGAGCCGCAATGCGCCCCAGTGCACCCTACTTATTTTTTTTACTTGTCTAACGCCAGACAATTTTACTCATCAATGGGGAAGCTCTGCAGCTTAATGGGTTAACCAAAATATCTGACAATGTCTCTAGTTAACCCATTGAGCCGCAATGCGCCCCAGTGCGCCCTACTTATTTTTTTTACTTGTCTAATGCCAGACGATTTTACTCGTCAATGGGGAAGCTCTGCAGCTTAATGGGTTAATGCCAGATGATTATAATACCAGATGCTTTTACCTGTTAAGGGGGTAGTCATGCAATGTTAATGGTTAACCTAACTATGTGCTAGTGTATCTTGTTAATATTTAATCCATGAAAGTACAATGCACAGCATTAAATGAGCCATACAGTATTTTTTTACACTGTACATGTATGTTGGTTATATAGGCTAACTATCAAAGTCGCCCTTCATAAAAAATGTGCTGCTAAATTGACTTACATGTCTTTCTGCCTTTGTGCCTTTTCCTTGCGCCACTTTGTCCAGAAATACTGAGCCATTTCCCTATTCTTGCCTGCCTTCTTCTTCTCACAAATTATTTCTTTGGTAAATCTACAGCTTTCCAGTTGACGAGCGTCCTTAAATTTCTGCTGTAGTTTCATATTTAACGATTTTTTCGACAACTTCCTTTCTTCTTGTCGTTTTCGTCGCCTTCTGTTGCTTTTTTTCTTTCGGATTTCTTCCGAAGTGTTAGGTCTAGACAAGCGAGATTGCTTCGCTAAAGGTCGAACTTCGAGTCCTTCGAGGCCATGTTCTTCGATCTTTTGACTCTTTTGCTGCAGTCCGCGGTAGGCAAGTGAGTCACTCGCCTTGCGAAATACCAGACTAAAATGCGCCATTTCAGCCAGTTCTACAACAAAGTCGTCAAAAACACAAAAAACGTATAATATACTTCGATTGTATAGATGTATCTTTCGACTAGCCTTTGAATAAACATAATACAATTCCCGCGCAAAATTGCATTATTTATATCGTCGTTCGCGCATTCTCGCGCGAGCTCACGTTTTCTGTGTTCCTACGGGAGGTATGATTGGTGTACATAAAAATGAACAGAGAATTGAAATAATTTTGCCTCTTTTCTTTCAAAAATAGTCACTATTAATTTATAGTATGTAAATCGTAAAGGAAACTGTATGCTTAAGCAACAATAGTTTCATACGATCTTTCTACACAATGAAAGGCAATGCATATCTTACCCTACCCCTACACGTCGTTTCCTTTGTCAAGACGGAAATAAATTAATTTGTTTACGTTTTCACGGTCACTGGCCTGCCGCTGTTATTTATTAAATTGGGGGGAATATACCTATAGTTCGTTTGTAATGTACGTATTAAAGATTTTATATTATTTTTTGTGTTTCGCTTGATTGGAAGCATTGCGTGGTTGTGGTTTTGGCTGAATAAGAGAAGCATTTACACGCAAGCAATAAACATGCACGGAACAGATTTTACCGCACCGGGACGCCGCGGGAATAAATTACTTTCGGCGCCAAATCTCGCGAATCTAAGTGGTTCGTTTTGTATTTTTATATTAGAAACTTATCGCGCCAAAATCCTAACGATACATAACGAACTATAACACCAAGCGAGTGGGTCAACGTTCTTTCGCTCCGCACTATATAATATTTTAATCTGTATTACCATAAATACCATAAATATTTTATTAACAATGGCTGAGGTTTCCCTGAGCGATCGGTACGTTCTACTTTTGAACGATGTAGTAAACGAGAATAAGGCAGTGAGGGAAAAGCTTGAGCAGACGAGTGCGTCAACAACGATTGATCAAAGGGCGCTCAAGGATTTGGCGAACAAAGTTGACAACTTGGATGCCAAGATATCCAAGTTAGCAGAACGTGGAAGGCCTGTTCGGCAAACTGGTGGTGCCAGAATACAAGTGCCAAAAATGTGTAGTGTAAGTACGTGTTTATATTTTTAATCCTGTTTTAGGTATAGTACGGTCTTGGTAATGGCAGCATGAGACAGCAAACGAACATTCCGTTTGTACACGTACTGTATAGGTGGGTTTCATTAGGCATTTTACATAGGGAAACCCTTGGTGGTCAACTTTACACGTATTGACGCTTTATATGCCTTGTAGGAGCAAGCAAATGACGCCAAATTACATGTATTTGCCACCAAACACAAGGTCAATAAACATAGTGTCCAATTTACTCACTCCGATAAGATAAATAAATCTCCTTTTAGAGTTGACCCACCTATACTATGTTTTATGTTCAGTTGTTTCACAGGTCATAATAACTCATATTACTTTATAAACAGAGCTCTCTTAAAGCTGCCAGTCTGCCATGCATACCTAAACAAGGATAATAACTTGGCATATATATACAGTGTACTTTATAACATTCAACATGACATATGTCTATGAATACAATATACTAGCTGGTTAATGTACGGTAGACTATATCTATTCATATCTCTGCAGACTGGCAAGCTATCTCTGCACAGACTGACAAACTAGCCGGTTGTTAATGAGGCCTGCTCTATCCCTATTTAGTATAATTTCAGTGTTAAAAAATAAACTTTGAGCATTCTGATTGATTCACTCAGCAGTAACTCTGAGGCAATAGTTTCTGCTGTGAGCAGTAACTATTCCTTTTCCCAAAAAAAATAAGCACGTTTGATCACCACGCATGATAGTGATTATGTACCAGTTGTATTTATAAATAAAACTTTTTCAATACTGAATTTATACTAAAACAATCAGTCGCCTCAGGCTCTGTGATTACAAGCCTATATTCACTTTGCGTTCGGCTCAGTACCAAAACCAGTACATAAGATAATAATTACCTGTAACATAATATTATGAATATACAGTATACCTAATATACAATATTACCACAATCTTTTTCTGTGTTGGTGTTATGTACTCAGGTGAATATGATGTTTGTGATGTTACTCTGAGTATATATCCACACCGAGCAAGCTTGAAAAATATGCCTGGCCATGGTGGGAATCGAACCTATGACCTTTGGAACTGACCGCGTAGCTCAGTTGGCAGAGCATTGGGCTATGTATGTTCGACTCCGACCGTGGCCAGGCATGTTTTTCAAGCTTGCCCGGTGTAGACATATACTCAGAGTAGCATCACAAACATCATACTCACCTGAGTACATAACACCAACACAGAAAAAAATCATGATTACTAGATTGCATTAATATCGAAGGAACTAGACTCAGTTCCGAAATATCACATACTCGAACCGAACCGACCACGTAGCTCAGTTGGCAGAGCATTGGGCTAGTATTCCAAAGGTCGTAGGTTCGATTCCCACCGTGGCCAGGCATATTTTTCAAGCTTGCCTGGTGTGGATATATACTCAGAGTATAACATCACAAACATCATATTACCACAAATCGTTGTATATATTGTAATGCAACCAAAGCTAGGGGTGCACCGGAACCAATTTTTTAAGTTCTGGCGTACATTTTCCTTGTGTAGTCCTAATTTCCTCCTACGATGCGATCTGTTCATTCTTTATGATTGATACTATTCAATCAATAAACTTGATACTCTATGTCTCTGAAAACGATGTCCAGAGTTCTGGTTCCGACCATGCTCTTTTTTTATTAGTTCCGGCCGGAACTCTGAAAAATCGGGGTTCTGGCCCGAACTAACTGGCTGGAACTGAGTTCCGGTGCACCCCTAACCTAAGCCAATGCCAAGAATAATAACCAGTGTACTGTATGAAAGCCATTTGCCTTGCAGGCCATTTCTAGGATCATGCATTTGTGTCTGAGATTTATTAGTGCACCAGAGCCCTTGGATAATTATTATTTATTTCACCCATAAACAATAGTATTTACAGGTTACAGTATAAACAATTTTTAGATAATCTAAATTAAAGTTTGGGCTAGTAATTATAATACATGTTTCGGAATTTAAATTTCAAATCACTGTATTTACTATAATTATAATAAATAGCAATGAAATTCAAATATATTCAAATGAGTTCACTAATCCCCGTGACAATATGCCCGGCATATTTTCAAAATACTCATTAAATGCTTGGCAGTATAGAATTTTGTAGTTTTCTTAGATTAAACCCCCCTACAAAACCTTACCCAAAACCTAAGCCTAAATTCAACTTCCATCAACCTAACCCTAGAATGTGAAAAGGAGTCAGAAAAACAGTTTGAAGTCATTGAATAAAAGTTATTGAACCAGACTCCAATCCGCGACATGCGGGCCAGCCATTGTAGGCATTTACTAAATACTGTGTATTGTATGTACTGTACACATGCACAATATTGTTTTAGACAATAATGCACTGCTAAAAATATTTGAGATCCTGTGACAATACTATATGCATGTAATATTGGGTGATACTCGGTGACATTGGGGTCCAGAGTAAGCCTTTAATGCAGGCTAGCCAAAATGGCAAAATTCCTTGCCTCCATGTGAACAAATAATAAGCACTCCCTTACAATAAAAAAGACCATGTTGAATAACCTGGAGTAGACATGGTATCGATGGGAAATTTACATATTATGTAGAGTCCACAGCTGACATGCTTACATGTTGCAGGAACAAATCTTTTTGTCTGATTTTAATGCTTTCTAATTTTCAGGTTAGAACATTTTAATATTTTGATTGTTCAGTACAATCATACTATTCTTATTATCATAGGGATTACAGCTTTTAAAGTGGTGTTTTCCAATACTAATTTTAGAATGATGTTCGTCGTAAAATAAAAATTCTATCGGAATCACTGGATGATGAAGTTGCTCTCAACATTAACGAAAGGTAGTTATATCATACCAAGATATGCTTTTTGTGGAAACACCACATATTGTAAATTACCTTTAAAAACTCAATAATTCATAAAGAAAAGACAAAGGAAATCACTAGCATGTCGGTGGTTTTATATAGATCTGTTCGTATAGCTTTGGTTTTCTCGACTTAGACAACGTTTATTTTTAAAATTACTTCGCTAATAAACTCGTAAGATGGGTCGTTTTTTAAGCCATTTAAAACACTCGCAGTCCGTGCTTTATCAGATATAAAACTCTCGGCTGTCGCCTCGAGTTTTATATCCGATAAAGCAATCCTGCTCGTATTTTAAATAGTACTTACAGGGTGCGATAATTCGCGTACTTACGTACCGGAGGTACGCCAATATTACGTTCTGGTACGTCTTTGTTTTCAGCCAGGTACCACGTAGGTACGCGGACCTCTCACTATTTGCGTACTTACATTTTGCTGGTACCAAAATTATTGGACTGATGGGACTAAGGCTAAGGAACGAGTCGATTCTAGTGTTTGTGTATGTAGTTGTCGTCCTTCTTGTTCTAACTCGTGGTTTCAGGTTACTGAATTAATACCTTTCAGAAACCTGTACTTTATGTACTTCATTTTACAGACTAAGTACATCATCTCAAGTACGCGGCAATAATCATTGGAGTACCAGTCAAGTACGACTAAAAATCTTGAATTGTCGCACACTGCCTTACCCAAAGCTTTCGATCTGTAAGCCCGGATCATGGTCAGTGGAAATAGATTATCAATACTACAATGTTACTAATAATAACAACAAAAACCCTTCAAACAGCCTCGTAATTGGCCTATTTTTGCCTCGGCAAAATTGGGGATTTTTTGCCGGGGCAAGTAAGAACATTCTGAATATGCCTCGGCATTTAGTTCGGCAATTGCCGAGGCAAATTACGAAGGCTGTCAAACAACTTACAGTATATATTAGTTATACTTTGCTGGTATGATACAGTCCTGTGCTGGTGCTTTATAATAGATAAGCTAATTTGGGATTCAAAGTCACTTTAATTACGTTCATGCATGTAATCTGTATTTTTCTCATTTTAGTTCTGAATCAAACCATAATCTTGCCGTTTGCCAGCAGTTGACAAATGAACTATTTTTGGAGTATGGTGGACAAGAAAAATGTCCTTGGACATGCATTCAAATAAAAGGTATACAGAATAGAGCTAAGTATAATAATTAAGCCGCCACACTGTTTCCTTAATTTTTGTTTTACTGATGCCAGACAATTTTACCAATCTTCTCACAATCTTCTTGACATAAAGTTTCACGAAGGCGAGCCAGAGGGGTCAGCATTGCATTGCTTACACTTTTTTACAAGAACCAGTACAATTTTGCCAAGGCTCAGTGTTCTTATTTTTTGACCAATTTCAAGCTCCAAATCTTATTGGTTCTTATCGGTTCTTATCTTACACTCGCTTTAAGAACAAAAAACCTGACAGAAAGTTAAATTAAATGTATCATTACGGTAGAACTTATCCTTGACACTGGAAAAAAATTTGAAAATCCATAGAAGTCCATAGAATGGAAATTGTATGGACCTTTTTTGGAAATAGAATGGATTTTGATTATCCATAATAATTGTATATTTCCATACTATGGATATAATATCGAAATAGTATGGATATATTATGGATTTAGTGGTACAATTGTAAATTTCATAGTATGGATTACACATTTTTTTCCCAGTGTGAAGGGCATAAATGAAGGGAGTCTTATTATATTTTTCGACTTGTGTGTCACTGACGGTAAAATGTTCATTTTTCTCAGCCTGAATTTGTTCCTATTGTCTATTTTGTTTAATTTTTTGCCAATTTCGGCCTCAGTGTTCTTATTAAGAGTGTTCTTATCTTAAAAGTGTATTTGTATCACCCATGGGTATATGCTCATGGTTCAAATGTTTTGTTAACAACTGAATCGAATATTAAAACCTGTCAAAACACAATGCAAGTTCCACAGCGAATTTGTAACGTTTATATTTGTGTTTATCTTTACCTAAAAGAAACATTTTTTTACTTTTAGCGGCATTTAAGACTTATATGAAGTCCAAAAAGGCGCATGCTAAAAGAACACTCGATGGAACTAATGCGGCACATGTGAAGAAATGTCGTCGATCCAACAGAAAAAGAGAGGTAACAAATTAAATGACAGTACAATTTTATGGTGCGTACAAAGAATTAAAGCGTGGGTTCTGCAATATAATTAAACTACCATATACATGCAGGGAAGCGAAGTTAAGGCCCTGTCACACTATTGGCGTATCGTATAGCGCATGCCAGCGTATGAAAAATATTACTCATACGCTGGAAAACGCTGACATACGTTTGGGGTACGTTAGGAATATAGGTTGTATACTTTTCAAGCACGGTCGGCTGGCATACGGCGAGGCAGAAACTTTTTTTAAGCATGCTTAAAAATTTTGTGCGTATTCGGACGTATGGTTTATTCGATAAGCATACTCTACGCACACGCTGAATACACTATAGAGGTACGCCAAATGTACGGTACTCATACGCTGGCATTTCAAAGGATTTTTGTGCGTATATGAAAATTATTTCATTCATTTTCATACGCTTCTCATACTTTCTCTCATACGCAATAGTGTGACAGGGCCTTTAACGATCTGGACATTTCACACCTTTATTTACGTTTAAAAGTTGTATTTTGCGGCTGTCGCTTCAAACTTCCTGGTATAATCCTAAATTGTAATTTGCAGTTCGAACATTTTAACCATTTGGAAACCAAACGTACAGCAAAGTGAAAAAGTGTCCTCGGTTAACGGGATGTTTAACCCAAAATTTGAAAGTGGGAATAAACAATTAACCAAAGAAAATTTTTCTTTTCGTAGAAATTAGGAAGACGTCTTTCGAGTTTGAACAGTAAAGATTGGACGCCTGAGCGAAAAGCGAAGGTAGCTGCTGTCCTTACTCTGGACTATATTTCCAGCGACGAAAGTGATGCGGACGAGGAAGGGAAAACTGTTTACGCTGTTAAAACGTTGCCTGGGCAAAGTCAGAATTTGAAGAATAAGAAAAAGAGCCTGGACAAACACCATATGGAGTCTCTTCCAGCGTTGGTGAGGCGTAGGCTATACCTTCGAAAAAAAGGTGGCGTGTCGCTTCGCCCTAAGCCCACCGATTGCCCGGATTGGGCTTGCAAAGACGACTGAAAACTTTGTTAGTAAAATATCTAGGATAAAAACGTTCAAGGGAAGCACTTATGTCAGCGGTATTTATTCACAATAACACGGTTTTCAATTGCACTGTAGATTTCACCTTTAAATACTCTATACACTACACTACGCAGTATATAAAGCAATAGTCCTGATCATGACTACAATCTAGTGGAAACGTAGAAATAAAGAATTTCAAAATGTTTACTATTTTCGGAGTAACTATTGCTTTGTATAGGTACAGTATTTTATCAAAATACTACAGTTAATGTATTTTATCAAAATACTTGGTGGTTCCCGTATAATACGGTATATATTATTACCACTTGACTCATGACACATCAAGATATTCACAGTTTTGGTCTACATCAGACTGTAACTGAATTAAAGTAAAATATATACCTTTGGAATATACAACGTGAGAGCTATAGATAGTCTTAGATAGACTATTACTGTAACCACTGAGTGTTTTGATAAAATACAAAACAACTGTAACTGCGAAAAGGAATATTTTAGTTATGTCGCCGAGCATTCGACTAAGTTCTTTCTAATCATCAGACTCATGAACATTTCAATTATAATGATTAGCTTTCAACTAAGTTCTAATCATATAATATATATATATATAATATATATATATATATATATATATATATATATATATATATATATATATATATATATATATATATATATATATATATATATATATATATACTGTATATACTGTATATACGTATTTTTCAAATGTACAATGTTTTACTATATACATGCATTGCGTGTTAATGATTTATAATAATAATAGGCACTTATTAAAATTACAAATTACAGTTAATTAATATACACCATTTATCTGTGTCTTTTTTTACTTGTTTGGCAATATCTGTGTTGAGTTTACTGCTAATAATTAAAATAAAACAATTTCGACGTTTCAGACAATTAGTCGAACTTATTTGTTTGTTTTATTGCATGACATTGCAGTGAGCACTGGCACTGCCAATAATACCGAAGATAACCCCCATGATAAAGCGAGAAATCTGGATTGTATTCACGTGACACCTTTAAAGCATTTAATATGAAGATTAAATGCTGTAAAGATTAAATTATGTAAGTTGACATAAACTGCTGCTTTAATTGTATCAGTAAAGCAGTGTAAACACATCTTTAAATTACATATACCATTTCTTTACATCAACCATTAAAGAGACCTTTTAAAGCAAGAAATCTGGATTTCATTCACGTGACGCCTTTACAAAATTTACTATGAAGATTAAATGTGGTAAAGGTAAACTGACATAAACTGTTGCTTTAATAGTATCAGTAAAGCAGTGTAAACCTATCTTTAAATTAGATATACCATTTCTTTACACAAACCAGTAAAGATACCTTTACAGTTATTTAAGCAACATATAACGCGAAATCGTAAAGCCTCCACTGCGCCGCTTTAATTGCCAGGCTTAAAGCGATGTATACGTACCTTTACAAAATATAATCCTGCAGATTAAATGTCATTATAGGCACCATTAATATGCCTTTAAGATCCCTTTAATCTGATTTGTATTTCTAATTTCGTCCTGTGTACTGAGAGTATATATAGGCTGCATGTATATATATATATATATATATATATATATATATATATATATATATATATATATATATATATATATATATATATATATATATATATATAAAGTGCCGCATTTGTCCTGTTTCCTTCAGGTTATAGAATCTGTTACAAAGCTTGCCCGGGATGAACCCATCTTGTGGGGATTGACCGGATGCGAGTAACTGGCGCAAACCGTTTTCAACTATAATAAAATGGCATAGAGTGCTCGAATAGCACGGCAAGTACTTTCTGCATAATGCACTATGAGCTATATATCATGGTATTTTTTGTCAAGTGTTTGTTTCACTTACGACATATCACTGTTTAACTCAATTACCTCGTATTCCTTCTACTCGCGAGTTACTAAATTACTGTCACATATAGTTTAGCTGCAGGCCTTGTGACCCTGCGTGGACGCTTAAAAGGAAAGAATACATAAAAATACAATAATAAAATACATATATTGACAGAATACAATAATAGAATACAATAATAGAATACAATAATAGAATACATATGTTGACATTTATATGGCATGCAACATGAATAAACATGTATGAATAATTGATCACGGCATCACGCGTCACTGTCCCTGAACAAGGTTACCTGTCATGCGCTGTTTAGTCTACTTTTCTCTATAAATATAGGCGTCCTTGCTCGGTGGATCCAGAGTTTCTAAGAACGATTGATACTCTGATATGCCTAGAAGCAGGAAACGTAAACGACGCCCGAATACGGCTTCAAACCCGCTGTTCGTTCATGAGTTAAATTATGGAGATTATGTAATGGCTGAGTAAATAAAATCTTAAAATCCTTGTGTGTGTGTATTCTTTCCTTTTAAGCGTCCATGCAGGGTCACAAGGCCTGCAGCTAAACTATATGTGACAGTAGTTTAGTAACTCGCGAGTGGAAGGAATACGGGGTAATTGAGTTAAACAGTGATATGTCGTAAGTGAAACAAACACTTGACAAAAAATACCATGATATATATATATATATATATATATATATATATATATATATATATATATATATATATATATATATATATATATATATATATATATATATATATATATATATATATATATACTGTTAGGGCGATCAGTGGATAACATGATATTTTTGTAAAAGTTTGTAACTGATCTATTAAAAATCTTCAATAAAAACATACTCAATTTTCGGCTGCCAACTGCAGCCTTCTTCAGAGTATTTTGGCCGTGTTCGATTAGTTCAAGTCCTTTTATGCCTTATCCCGTTACACTCAATTGATTCTAACAATGGTAAATACGAAACCGGAAATTCTATGTGCTCATTGACTGCATTTTTGTCTAGTACAGAATGTAACGCTTCAAGAAACCTTCTTTTGTCATAGTTTTTAATGCCTTTTTCCAAAATATTTACGTCAGTTTTAGCGACTTCATGACCTGTCTGTTCAGCATCTGTTCTTTTTGTTCTTTTTGTCTGTTCTTTTTGTTCATGGCACACACACCGACAAGTATCTAGATTTTGGCTCGCATTGCCCTGTAAGAGACAAGATCGCAGTTGTAAAATCATTATTAGACCGAGCGAGAGTTATTCCATCAAACCAAGTTTTACAGAAGGAGGAAACGGATAGAGTAGCAGAAGTGTTAGAGTTAAATGGATACAAGAAAGCGTTTATTGATGTTAGAAATACAAACAAAACACAACAAAATTCTTCGGAATTTGAGATTCGTGGCTCGACGTGCATTCCGTATGTGAAAGGTGTGTCGGAAAAAAGTCAAAAACATCTTAACTCGAGCAGGCGTTCGGACAGCATTCAAGCCGATAGTCACGTTAGAGAATGTATTCAAAAAACCAAAAGAAAGACCACAGGAAATGCGAACAAAAGCTATTGTGTACAAATTCAAATGCGAGTCGTGCTCATTCACTTATGTCGGGGAGTCGAAAAGATGTTGGTGTTCCCGATGGCTTGAACACAAACCAGGCGTAAGAAAAAAGACTTTTTCAGCTATAAAAGAACATGCTGAACAGACAGGTCATGAAGTCGCTAAAACTGACGTAAATATTTTGGAAAAAGGCATTAAAAACTATGACAAAAGAAGGTTTCTTGAAGCGTTACATTCTGTACTAGACAAAAATGCAGTCAATGAACACATAGAATTTCCGGTTTCGTATTTACCATTGTTAGAATCAATTGAGTGTAACGGGATAAGGCATAAAAGGACTTTAACTAATCGAACACGGCCAAAATACTCTGAAGAAGGCTGCAGTTGGCAGCCGAAAATTTAGTATGTTTTTATTGAAGATTTTTAATAGATCAGTTTCAAACTTTTACAAAAATATCATATATAGATATATATATATATATATATATATATATATATATATATATATATATATATATATATATATATATATATATATATATATATATATATATATATTCGCTGGTATACGGCTAATAAATGTCTCACTTTTAATGGGTCTAAGAGTGAGGATTTAAAGATCAAAATACGTGCAATTATTGAAGAAAATCCCGAAGAACCTGAGAGTGATGAGAGCGAAGTTCAGGTCAGTGACAGTGTCGAAGATACGTTTCCAACTGAGAACAATATGGCGGTAGAAGAAAGCACCGACAATCATCCAAACCTTACTTTACTAAACGGCGCTTCTATACTCTGCACGACTGAACATGATAACAACGTGACCGAAAAGCTAAAAATGGTGGAAAGCCAAATGAATCAGAAGATTGAAAGACTGGCTTACGAAATACAGAAGCTGAAGGACAATAAAGACGCGACTACATTACACGCCGAATAGAATGCTATACTAAAGAAAGAAAACGAAGCACTGAGGGAACGTTTACAGAACTTGGGATATATTATGTCTGAACTAAACACCAAGGTCAAAGATCTAGAAAACGAAAAAATGAGCCTCACTACAGTGATAAAAATTTTACTACACGAACATGGTCGAGACGACAAACGATCCGAAGGTGAACAATGTGACAAATTTGAGAAAAAAAAACAACAAGAAAAAGCTAATGTAGTAATCGTCGATGATGATGAAAATGTCTCAACACACAATAGATATGAAATCTTAAGTGACCATCAAGAAGACAATGAAATTACATCTACAAGCCATGGCACGAATGAAAGCGCAAAAACAAAAAGCCGAAAGTCACAAGGGGGTAAGGATAAGAGCCGAAACAAGAAAACAAACAAAGCAAGCACTTCTACAGTTATTGTCGGGGACTCAATAATCAAACATTTAGATTCCCGAAGGCTGCAGAGATCAATAAAGGGTGAAGAGAGCAAAGTTTTTGCTGAAACCTACAGAGGCGCAAAAATATCAGCCATAAAGCACCATATTAAACCATGCTTAGATAAAAGCCTACACAAATTATTCTGCATGTTGGCACGAATGATCTACCAGAGAAACATCCGAGTAAAATAGTTGATGACATTGCTGAAATCTGCGATATAATACAGACTGACAGCCCCACAACGGAAATTGTAATCTGTGAAGTCATACTCAGGACGGATAGGGCAGAATACAAGCAGAAAATAGGTGAGACCAATACCTTGCTTGCAAGCTTTTGCGAAAGCCGTAATTTATATATTATTAAGCATAACAATATTGGGAACCGCATATTAATCCGTATGGCGTCCATTTAAACAGAGCTGGGACGTCCGTTTTAGCTAGAAATATTCTAGACTATCTTAACATGCATGGCAAAAGTAATTGATGTGTAGCAGAGAATAGCCCGACTGACGATTTTGAACCAGACCAAATTTCACTAAATCATTCAAAACACGATAATTCAAATAATGTTGAGGTGAGACCAAATTCCAGCACTCGAAGTGATAATAAAAATATCAAACAAATGAGAGGATTCAAGATTGCTCACCAGAATATCAGAAGTTTAATAAAAAATATGGATCAACTTAAGCTGTACTTACATTCCCAAAAATATGATATTATTACCTTGAATGAAAGTATGCTAGACAATACTGTAGCAGACCATGAAATAGATATAAATGGGTATGATATTATACGAGAGGACAGAAATAGGCATGGTGGGGGAGTAGCAATGTATGTAAGAAGTTCAATAGACTATAAAGTTAGGTATGATTTAATGACGGACAATCTAGAGACGATCACAGTTGAAATTTGTAAACCAAAGGCAAAACCTTTCCTAATAAACACATGGTATAGACCACCAAATACATCTCTCTTGAACTCTTCAATAGCTACGAAGAACTTGTGAAAAACATGGATTCAGAGGGTAACGAAATAATACTTATTGGTGATTTTAACTGTGATTGGTCTCTGGAGAAGGATAAATTGAACTCGCAAACAAATAAATTAGTTGATCTTGCAAATCTATTTCAACTCGAACAGTTCATTAAGCAACCCATGCGAATAACACAAACGACCAGGACCCATTATTGATTTAGCTTTTAGCAATAGACCGGAAATAGTAATTGCATCAGAAGTTGAGCATTTAGGAATTACTGATCATAGCTTAATTTATATATGCCGGAAAATTTCAATTCCTCGTAAGGAGCCAAAACTCATAAGTACACGGCAATTCAAAAATTATAGCAAAGATGCATTTTGTTATGACCTACATAAGATATTTCAAACGCAATCAAGCCAATCTCCTGATCCTAATTCACTATGGCAGGAATGGAAAACAAAGTTTCTATTAATTTCTGATATGCATGCGCCTCAAAATATTAAGAGACCTATCTACCACAGGGATTTTCTTAAGAAAAAAGCGGTCAAAACTGGATCTTCCAATTTACATGATGCTTATACAAAAGAGCTCGAAATGATTTAAATAGATTGATTGAAAAGACTAAAACCGAATGTTTTACGAGCATAATTAATAATACTGCTAAAAATCCAAAAGAAATGTGGAAGACAATTAATAAAATTACAAACAAAAAGTCCAAGACAACAAATATAACTAAGATCGTTGTTGATGATAAAGTGATTGAGGAGCCAGAAGTTATTGTAAATACATTTAACAACTTTTTCAATGAAATTGGAACAACTCTGGCTCAAAACTTACCAGAAAGTACAAGGACACCCGAGTCATATATTAAACCTGAGAATGACTCTACATTCGAATTACAGAATGTAACGGAGGTCGAGGTTTTTGGTATAGTTTCAGCATTATCTCATCCAAAGCTACGGGCCATGATAGAATATCACCTAAACTTTTAAAAGACTCGGCCGGTGTGATAACCTCTAGCTTAACTCAAATATTTAACCAATCGCTGTTGACTGGTGTTTTTCCAGACGACTTTAAGGTCGCAATTATATCACCAATCTTTAAATCAGAAAGCAAATTAGAGTCCAATAACTATAGGCCAATTTCAGTACTTTCAGTTGTAGCTAAAGTTTTTGAAAAACTTATATCAAATCAATTATCAACATTTCTGGAAACAAGAGGCATACTCACGCAACAACAGGCAGGTTTTAGGAAGAAAAACTCGACAGAAACATTGCTTTTAAATTCTACTAACAAGTGGTTTATTAACATGGACAAGGGATATTTAAATGGAGTTATTTTCCTAGACCTTAAAAAAGCTTTTAATTGTGTAAATCATGATATTCTAATTAGAAAACTAAAGTTGTATGGGTGCAGTGAAAATACTCTTTGCTGGTTTAAATCGTACTTAACAAATCGACGTCAGATGGGCAAAATTGGTCGTACTATATCTCAGGAACGTGTTATTCGCTGTGGTGTACCACAAGGCTCTACTTTGGGGCCGTTATTATTTTTACTTTATGTAAATGACCTCCCAAGTTGCCTATCTCATTCAATAGCTAGCTAGTATGTTCGCTGACGATACAAATTTAACAACATCTGGGAAGTCCATAGAAGATATACAATACCAGTTAAATTCTGATTTAGAAAATATTCATACGTGGCTGTTAACCAACAAATTGACTCTTAACAAAGAAAAAACTGAGTATATGATAATTAGCTCTCGGCAACGGTTAGCGAAAATTGATGACGATCCGAAGATAAGTCTTGACGGTATTGATATAAAAAGAGTTAAACAAGCAAAAACATTAGGTATTGTCATCGACGAAAAATTACTATGGAAAAATCAAATTGACGAAATAACTACCAAAGTTTCTAGAGGAATTGGCATGTTAAGGAGAATGAAAGCCTATGTTCCCCAGGAAACTTTAAGGACTGTCTATAGTGCACTGATAATGCCACATTTCGACTATTGTAGCCTTGTCTGGGATAATTGCAGTAATTATCTACTAGAAAAATTACAAAAACTGCAGAACAGGGCTACAAGAGTCATAACTGGAAAATCCTATGAAACTCGTTCAAGTGAGATTTTAAAAAACTTAGGGTGGCAACCGTTGCTAGACCGAAGAAAAGACAAAAGGGCATTATTTATGTTTAAAATAAGAAATAATGAGTTTCCCAAATGCCTGACGAGCATGTTTAACACTAGCAACAATAAAAACTTTAACCTTCGCAGTAACGAATTAGATTTTGCACTTCCAAAGCCGAATACAAATTATTTGAAAAAAAGCTTCAGTTATTCAGGTGCTGCGCTTTGGAATGATCTGCCGAAGCGCGCAAAAGATAGAGCAATATCAGTTGGTCAGTTCAGGGCTATTCTCAATAACATGGAAGAACGAGCTTGTAAAGAGAGTAATACTAATACCTTTTAGAACATTTTATACCTTTTTTGGAAGTTCTTTTATAGTGTGTAATATATGTAAAATTTTGTTTTTGTGCCTTAATTTAGCAACGGCCCCTTGAAAATCAGTCGTAATTCACTGAAGGGTCTACCGTTGTAAAATAAGATTAAATAATAATAATCATAATAATAATAAGATAACAATAACCAATCGCATTGCAGAACAAAAAGAAAAATCTAATCAAACTAAAGCTCGTCCAATCAAAAGAAAGATTCAGATTGGTTAGTGTTCTCTAAGTGGCCCCACTTACTGTAGACGCACTGTAAAAGCGAAAAAATTACAGCTTAAACAGATATTGTAAAATAAATGTTTTCCCATTTAAAAGAAGGTTTAACAGCAGCAGTGAAAACAAGTGACGAATATATTCTCTACCCATTTGTGTCATGTATTTTTCACTGATATAAATATTGTAAACAAAGTAAAAGTTTGTGTTTAAAAACACTTTTTTCAAGCATATTATCGTGAAACGACAAGAAAAAATACAAAAATATAAAAATAACATACCTTTTTCATTGTCCTTTTAGTAGAAAAACGTTAATGAAATCAAAACAGATTCATTTTTATATGTTTTTGATCGGATCTGAACATGAACCTGTCGTTGTCAGGAGCAACTTGTCACAGCCAAAGCCAAAACGCCAGGCATAAAAGTTTTTATTCCAAAGCTTCTCTGCAACCATATTCATGAAAAAAGCATGTACATTTTTACTGAAACTATACGTCTTTTTGTGTGTTTCTTGCCAGTTTTCTCGAGTTTTCGTGTTTTATATCTTTTAACTTTTCAATTTTTGTCAGCCTCGCTTTGAAAATACACAACTGCACTGATCTCAAATTAGTTCGCAAGCATCACTGGAATTTTAATGAATTTAATTTTTACATCTGATAAAAAATAAACACGTTATTTACCACCATTGAGGGCACAGTTTTTCTCATCCGGACCTCGCAGCCGGTAAATAACATATATATTTCGGTTTTTAAAAAACATCGGTTTTTTTCGGTTCACCGAAAAACCGCCTCACCCTAATTGCCAATGAATATAAGTTTCTCCCAAGTCTGTTTTATGGTATGCAGGAAAATTTCATGGTGGTTTGGTCACCTAGTGAACCTGCCTAACCTATTAGGAACTAAAAGGCAGCCTCATTAACTGAATGATACAATCGATCTCATTCTGGGTCGACGTTATCTCTGATTCAGTATATCCCATCCACAATATTCACCGTTACACATGTACATTTACAGTCTTAATATCAAGTATATTATTACGTGGTAAATTATGTACTTACTTTGCTTTCACCGCTGCCAAGAATTCGCCCATGCCATCGTCATCTATTCCAACTGTTTCAAACATAATTAATAATTCATCAGTATTGCAGCCATTTGAATTACTGTCGTTCCAATTGAAGTGTTCCTCAAATATTGATTCAATACATTACCTCAGCACTGATTTATTATTCATTTATTAGCACTGATGAAGATCCGGGCTGACGGATCGAAAGCTTTGCAGTAATAAATTTACGTGTTGTTTCCACAAACAACATCATATGTTTTATCGCCATGCAAACCTACCAAGAACTTATTACATTACCTCAGGTTGACCAATTCATTTCATCAAGTTCCTCGAGATATTCATACACTTCCTGTGAAAGAGCCAATTCCAAGAATTTTATTTATTTCTGGTCGCTTCCTGTTTGGTTAGTTGCACAAACAACAAAGGTGATTGGTGCATTCAAACTATTCAACAGGAAGAATATCTCGAGGAACTTGATCAAATGAATTGGTCAGCCCGAAGTAATGTATTGAATCAATATTTGAGGAACACTTCAATTGGAACGACAGTAACCATTAAAATACTCATTGATAATTCATAAACCTTGTGGCAAATCATGTCAACCATAATATGTCATGTGACTTTATATTTGATTGCATGGCCACCTGCTGAGAAAATACCCTGGTATTATTTGGTCACGTGTCTCCCAGAATCTGGGAGGTAAACAATAAATTTCTATCAGGGTGGGTAACTAAGTAGCGTTTTGTCACTGAGCAAGGAGTGAGCGAAGAAATAACGCAGAAATCATGCAGGAAATATTTACAAGATTGTAGATTTTATTTGTCATGAATACTATCCAGTTACACAATTAGAAATATCAAATGTCATTGTGCCCAGAATGTCGGTGAGCAAAGATATATCAGATTTCAGTATACAAGGTGTGCCCTCTGGGTGTGCAATACGGCTCGTCGAAGAAATGTTCGTCGTCGCAAACGTTACAAGAAAATATATTTCCAGACCGAACGATGTAGCTGTTGTTTACTTGTTGAAGTCTATCCTAAAAGATTTGTTTAATACTGAGATGTGGAATTGTAACGAAATAGAGAAATCTTTTCAATGTCTGTAATATCGCAAACTACAAACGGAACCAACTTTGCTTCTAAACAATGCTACTCGGACTGTTATTCAAAGCGCTGTGAAATTTCCAAATTCCAACATTGCCATTGACTTCGCTCAAACTTCATTCATGCTCAAGAAATATATTGACGGGGAACCGGAATGCGGATTCCGTAAGCAGATTCCGCATTTGAGGATAAAACGCGGATTCCGCAAATGAGGATAAAACGCGGATTCCAGAAGCAGATTCCGCAAATGAGGATAAAACGCGGATTCCGCAAATGAGGATAAAACGCGGAATTGCGTAAAAAAGGACGAGAAGCAGAATAGCGTATAAAAACCTAATTATTACTTTTTAAGGTCAAAACCACTAAAAAACGATTGGCTAAAGTCACCTAGTTACCCTAGGCCTGACTGTTGAAGACTTGAAATCTTACCTGCATGCATTAGTGTTTGGGGGGGGGGGACTGTGACTTTGTTGGACTATTTCTCAAAATTATGGAGGGAAGTGGAAAATCGTATTTATCAAGAGCGTCTTAATTTTTATCTGAGTTTCTTTGTTTAAACAATGCTAGTAATATTCGGGCTTTGATTGCGCAGGCGATTGAGATCGTGGGTTCGATTCTCGTTACGGACTCATGAAGAAAGTCGTGGGTTTTCTCTGGTTACTCCAGTTTCCTCTCACAGGGCAAGTTGGCAGGGTGGATTAGTCTGAACTCATCGACTTAAAGCTTCTAAAGAACTAATCATATTTAATTAGTTCATTAATAATCAACCTAATGATTGTATTATATTTCTTCATATAAATACTGTTTTTGATGTATAAATCAGTATAACCTATAGCTAGTTTATCCTGGTGATGACTGAAATATAGTCGAAACGTAGATAAGTATATATGTTATCTATTTTTGGAGTTTCACTTGTTTTGTATTTTTTTTATAGTTAGAAGAGTAATATCTCAATTGTTGTAAAGATGAATAGTCTAGGCTAAGTAAATAACATATGAAATCGTCATGCCTGTATGTAATGCGAAACATGCACCACATTCGACAGTTGTTTGCTCAACGAGCGAGCTCATAACAACTCTAACATAATTTTTTCTTTTTTTTAGATCTTTTATTAGGCCCGTTTAGGCTCTATATGGCCCTATATGGCCAGATTGGTGACCAGGCGTCCTATGTTTCGCTTAGTCACAAATTTACGTTGAATTCGAAAGGACAATTTACTGGAGAATGTTTTTTTGCTTGGAAACTAAAATACAATGTTACACTGTAATTGTGTTCTATTTTAAATTTTAAAAACCACAACATGGTACCCAATGAGAAAAACGTTGCACTATATAGTGGCAAATGATCGTAACTTACTTTACAACGCATAGAATTGTGTTAGTGTTAAGCTGTACTTTAAGCTATAAATGTTATGTACAGTTAATTAGTTAGTTTGTGACGTAAGTTGACAACTGACAAAATGACAAGTAAGGATGTCGTATATCATACGCTAAGAATTGTAGTCTGAAGTCAGAGAGATAAAAAAGTTAAAGAAGTGTATAACTACTATTGGATTGTAAAATAGTGCTAATAAAGATTCGGAGCACAACGGGTGTATACAATTCACAAGGACCTGTAGCAACATTAGCGTTTCTCTTGGTATGGTGCTCCAAAATTCTCAAAGATAGAGTATATTTCACAATTGCAATCGCATTGAAAGATCGTGGACAGGGAATTGCAAGAGACTTTGGAAAACACATTTGAAGGAAAACTCGGACAAGTGAATACTCCCTCAGGAGTGATGACATTTAAAACATTCTGTAAAAGCAATTTCGAGCAATAAATATGTTTTAAAATGAATTATGTGTGTACATTGTACAATATTTCTCCCTCCTGCATTAAATATTGCATGAATGCAAATATAGTGGCTGGCTAATGATCGTAAATTACTTTACAAACAACTCTCATCTTAAAATTAACAACACATAGCAACCCATAGATGTTTGGTCGCGCTACCCTTGTTTTGCCCTTTTGTCTTAGTAATTGGTGGCGCTACCCTATTGTGTTTGGCCCAAGCATGCCCGGGCATCGCCTGATCATGTTTTCATTGCATTATGGGGTCACAGAGGAGTAGGACAACATTTATATTTCATGAGTTGAAATTGGGGGTGATGAACCTACAATCTTGTGCAAAAATTATTGAGACACCGTTTTCGCTCCCCCCTCCCCCAAAACCAATGTTGTTGCAATGATACGAGGACACATGGTTTGCTGAAAAGGTCCACTCGACCTTGTAAATGGGGGGAGGGGGAATAGGCAGTAAAAAATCGAAGTATACGAGTATGGAGGTGTCAAAATGGAACTAGATGTTTCGAATACCTAAAGTTTCATTATTTTTGCTCATGATTGTAAGGTTAAGAGCTAGATTTATAACCTTGCATACTAATCACTTTCGATTTCATGACTTGAAATCATGGGTGACAAACCAAGGGTTAACACCATTGCAAGATTGATAGCCTTACATACTAATAGCGAAGAATACAATTACAATTGTGTCAGCGTTTCTCTTGGCATGGTGCTCACAAATTCTCAAAAGTATTTCAGAGTTAACGATCATATCGATCATATTGTCCTCATGACTTTCTGTGTATGTTTTTACCGCACAATTTCTACAAAACAATTAGTCGCCTCAGGCCCGATGATTACAAGCCTATATAATCACATCGCCTTCGGCGACTAATTGTTAGATATAGAAACAGTACGCTTCTCGACCAATCAGAGCGGGCGTACTATAAATGTTATATTATAAACTGTATTAAAACAATTACCTAGGATGGCTGACAATTGTTTTAAATTAAATACGATTTTCTCAAATGTTAATAAAACACGTGCAGAATTCGCATTTCATATGGATACAGGATACCGTTAAATATATATAATGATATACTCACTTGCACAGCGCGGCAGTTCGCTGGCACTTGCAGATCTCCCGGCAGCTCTAAAATTAATATTGAATTAGTATTTTTAAAGTTGAAACTAACTACATATTAATATATTTATATTTAATTGTATTGGGATTAATAAACTCTCGTTTGACACTTTCACCGTTGCGGTTCCTTGTCAGTTCTCAACGCTGGCGGAACGAATTGTTAGGTCCCTCACAATGTCCTGCCGTTATAATAATGATACGATATGTCACAATGTAGGGCCCCTGCCCTTAGTTGTATGATTATGCAAGAACCACGCGTGGGACACTCGCGGGACAATAAATATAATAAGAGTTGCTTTGAGCACATGTAAAACGAGAGTTTATATAGTTCACATTTTGTTAGTAATAAAATATATATCTTTTGCAATATTTATGTTACATATGTGAAGGGAAATACGAGTAACATGAGAAGCATCAATGAACTTGCCTCCCAAAAGACCGAGAGAGAAAACAAGCTTGGTTTAACAGAGAGGCTGTCTGCGAAAAGTGCCAAGGTGAGTTCTGTTGAGGAGGCAAAGGGAAAAAAGGGGACATCCCCAGAAGCTAGTGAAAAACAGGACCTCCTTGCAGAGATCAAGGGAATAAAGTCTGAATTAAGTTCCCTTAAAGCAAAGGTTGAGGAACAAGTGTAAGAATAATGCACCGTTCCAGCCAAGATATCCACGGGGTTGCCCCAAATGTAGGAGAGAAGACAATGGAAATACTTGCAGACATTGTTTTATTTGCAGTCAGGCTGGACATTTAGCCAGTCACTGCCCACAAAGGAAGGCGGAAAACGAACAGGGGCCATTTCCGAGGGAGAGAAGATGGCCAAGAACATAGAACAAATGTCCCCTCAATGTGCGTTTTGCAAAAAACTCCAAGTACATGACACTATCCTTTGTTGTAAACAATGCAAAGCTGTTTATTATTGTGACGGGGAATGTCAAAGGAAACATTGGCATGATCACATAGCAACATGTGTTGCCTTGCAAAGCATTAATCACAAGGATATGAAAGACAATGCAGACTTGGAATTCTTTGCAACCCACCTAACGCCAAGTCAACAGAATAAACTGGTACAGATAATTGGTAGAAAATGCATAGTATTGGGGAAATTAGATAATAAAGAAGTTAATGTGCTTTGGGACACAGGGGCCCAAGTGTCTGGTTTCAGAAAGATTCTTGAGACTGTTGTGTTCTAGTAGCGGAAGTGCGTAGTAGACGGAAGTGAACTGTGTAGTGGGATTTGAGGAAGAGGACTTACGGGGAAGGAGAGACAGAGACATGAGGCATAGAAGCAGTGATGTATATATTTCATAATAGTTTCCTATAAGTATTAACGTTCACATTACATATATATATTGTTTCTCATAATATAACATTGGCGACGAGGATAACCTCAATATTCGATTACTATGGCTGGATTAGATTTCTCGGGAATTCAACAGTTTGATCCTCATTCAGAGCCAAGTTCGCTGGCTTCGCAGTGGAAAGAATGGCTGCAACGATTCAAACGATGTATAGTCGCTTTTGACATCAAAGACAAAGCAAGGAAACGAGCTCTATTGTTATACCTGGCCGGTCCAAAGGTGGAAACAATATTTGCCACGCTCTATGATACGGGAGAAGAGAACGACTTCGATAAAGCCATAGAGATATTGACAGAGTACTTCGCGCCGAAGAAAAACATTCTATACGAGCGACATATTTTTCGCCAAGTCAGCCAGCGATCTGACGAAACAAGTGACCAATTCTGTACACGACTGAGACATCGTGCCTCGACATGCGAATTCGATAATGTAGAGGACGAGATTAAAACACAAATCGTGGAAAACTGCAGGTCTAGTCGACTCAAAAGGAAAGCATTTCGGGATGACCCCTGTAGTGTATTAGACCGGAACTAATTAGCATGTATGTAAATTAAGGTATATAAACTTAGTGTTTGTAACTATGTATGTGCAGTTCTTATATGTAGTATAATAAAGTGGTTCAAAATACTACATTTGGCGACGAGGAAGAAACTAAAAAAGACAGCATGTCTACATGCTTAAGTGGACTGCCTGGATTGCTAGCGTTTGACGCTGTAGGCGAACCAGCAACATTAGCCCAGAGATGGACAACATGGAAGGAAGAATTCGAGCTATTCGTTGCCGCATCGGGAATAAGCGATTCAACCCAGAAAAGAGCCCTTCTTCTCCACCTTGCTGGCCCGAAAGTGAGAGACATTTTTAACAATTCTATACCCGAAGGCGCCCGAGGCGAAGCAAAGGACTACAATAAAGCAATGGACTGCCTTTCAGACCATTTTAAAATGAGAAAAAATGTGCCTATGGCTCGACAGGCGTTTATCGCAGCGAAGCCGAACGTGGGCGAAACAATTAACAACTTTATAACACGACTACAGAAGCTAGCAGAACACTGTGACTACGGCGAGGAACGTGATAATCAAGTAAGAGATCATGCTATTTCTTACATTAAAGATAAGAACTTAAAATCGAAGTTATATCGTGAAGAAACATTGACTTTAAACAAACTTATGGAAATAGTCGGCGAGTATCATGACCAAGAGGCGTTAATCCTTTTGTCTGATCGAGTAAACAACATTCAAATTAGTTCAAAGAACAAAGGACGGTGTTGGCGTTGCGACAAGGCGGGACATTACGCAAGAGAATGTCGAAGCTCGCGAGACCACAAGTGTGGAAAGTGCGGTAAAGTTGGGCATTTCGAAGTCTGCTGCCATTCAAGAAGCAAGCAACCCGAAACACGTCAAGGCACAAATAATCAAAGTACTCGTGTTGGTGGAAATCGAGGAAGAAACAAGAAAAGATCGGATGTGCGTCAAGTTACAGATGGTGAACTCCCTGCAGCCGAGCCGGAAAAGCAAGCATACGACGGAGACTATTACCACATGTTCAGCGTTGAAGACATAGGTGAAGAGAACTTTCTGGAATTGAAGATTGAAGATAAGTTTGTTAAAATTGTTATTGACTCTGGTGCTAGCTGTAACTTAATCTCGCATGAAATGCTAGATTATATTACGGGGGGTAAAGTGAATTTATCGCCTTGTGATAAGAAAATTTATGCTTACGCAGCGGTTAATCCGTTAGAGCTTGACGGGAAATGTAAGCTTAACGTATATGTGCCTCAAACTAACCAACAAATTTTGACTGAGTTCTATGTTACAAGTGGGAGGGCAGTGACGTTGCTTGGTCGCAAAGCGTCTCAAACGTTGGGACTGTTAAAAATCGGGGTATCTCTGCATATTTCAACAGAAAGAAAAGCTGTCTTTAAAGCAAAGTTCCCCAAAGTTTTTCGAGGACTTGGTAAACTTAAGGGATATCAGTTAAAATTCCACATTGATCCTGAAGTAGAACCCGTAGCCCAGCCTGTACGTAGAATACCATTTAGTCGCAGACCCAAAGTTGTACAGAAAATAGAAGAGCTCGTCGAACTTGACGTAATAGAAAAAGTAGAGGGTCCAACTAGCTGGGTTAACCCATTAGTCGTAGTAGAAAAGCCAAATGGGGACGTAAGAATTTGTTTAGATATGAGACGTGCGAACAAGGCGATCAAGAGAGAGAAACATCCAGTTCCTACAGCAGAAGAAATCTTACAAGAAATCTCGGAAGCAAAGGTCTTCACCAAATTAGACCTTAATATGGCGTTCCACCAAATTGAGTTGCACCCAGACTCGAGGGACATAACCACATTCGCGGCGCCAAACGGTTTATATCGATACAAGAGGTTGATCTTCGGGGTGAATATGGCAACAGAGAAGTTCCAGAATATCATTTGGCAAGTCATCAAAGATTGCCCAGGCGCATACAACATCCATGATGATCTTCGTGTCGTTGGCGCTACTGACAAAGAACACGACGAGAATCTAGAAAGAGTGATGAGGAAATTGGAAGAAAATGGTCTCACGCTGAATTATGAGAAGTGTGAAGTCGGCGTCAACGAGATGGTTTACATGGGAGACGTTTTGTCTGGGGATGGTCTACAACTCTCAGAAAAACGAGTCAAAGCTATTGTCGACGCGCCAGAACCCAAGAACCAGTCGGAGGTTCGAAGTTTCCTTGGCTCATCGCAGTTCTGTGCAAAGTTTATCCAGAATTTTGCAACCGTGTCGAGTCCTTTATGGGATCTCACGAAGAAAGGTGCCAAGTGGAAGTGGGGAGAGAGAG